CCTTCCAACCCAAAGCATTCTATGATTCTATGATTCTACGTGTATGAACACAGTCCTGGGCTGGACTATGTTCATGGTAGACTGAACCTTTAAAAAGTTTAGATGCCAAAAGCAAGAACATATGTCATGGACTGTTTAATTGTGTTTCTTCCACTGGCTGAAAAATCAGCGTTATTTGGGGTCAATTTTCAGGGGAAGGGCAGAAATTGCACCTGTGAAATGCAATGACTATCTGCTGAATTTAAAAACCCTTCTCCGAGAAAAAGCAGTAACATTTTGCCATAAACACACATTCAACATACGCAAAATAGTAAAATTCCATCTAATCTCATTGTTGAAAATGACTGAAGAGATTAAAATGTTCTTGTGAAGGTTCCAACCAAACAGTTAAAAGTCTGGAAGAATTATAAGCAGCCGGGCTAACGACCACAGGATATGTTTAAATATGTATGGTACAAACAACTCTGCCTAAAATAAGAATTTTGAAATTCTTGTTAACTAGCAAAGCACATCTAATGATCCCTGTATTTATTGCTTATTTCTTTTAGTAAATCACTTACTTGCAGGTGGTCCTGCTCTCAAACTGAAATGCTATGGATATCTTCATTACATGTTTCTGCACTGAAGTAAACAGACAACTTACCATCACTTCTTCTCCTGGAGCTTCTGTATTTGAAATGATCAAGTTGTGATTGGCACAATCATCAGTCACATGCCTGTGCATTACCCCAGAGCCACAGCAGCCGCAAATTGTGATGAGGATTACTATGGAAAGGAAGTGAGTGAGTAAGATACTGTGAACTTTATCTCATAATGGTATCTACTTCTGTTTGATAATGAATTTTGTTGCATTAGCCTTTTTAACCAAAACATCAAGTACCGTTTAAAAAAATTATTTATTTCCAAAAATGCCCATACTCAAAACCGTTCATATATACACTTTTTCCAACAGTATACAGAGTTTTCACTACACTATTGAACTATTTCGTTCTTCTAAAACGCATCTTGGTTTCCCCAAAAGAAATGCAAGCATCCCTTATGAAAACACCGTGACTGCAAAATTCACAGTAATAAAAAATTAAGACCAAATCCAGGTGAAAAATAATGTCTTATGCCTACAACAATGTTGTATATAAGACATTTTTCATGTATGAATACGCAGATGTCAAATTATGTCACACAGAACTAATATGCAAGCTAAAGGTCCCAATACTAGAAACTCCTGCTTCACAGAAAAGGTCACCAGAACCCTGGAGGACTTCAAGCATTATGTTACAGAACAATCTTAGTTAATTCCTTGTATTCAGCTTATTCCTCCTACAATAATACTTCATGTTGTCATGGAGACTCGGCCAGAAATGACTTTGTATAAAAGAATCATGAGCAATTAATACCTCTCCTAAACAAAGGACTAAACATTTCTTTCAGAGAACCACTCTTTCTTTCTCTTTCCAAGTTGATAGCTTAAAAATAAAGAAGCCGATGAGAAATAGAGCAGTTCTTCCCAACTGCCCACTGAGCAATCTGATCTCTGAACATACAAACTTCTGTGGAAATTGGCCAAGAGCCACTTTCAAGCTCATTTAGCTTCTGCAGCTATCAGCTGTCTGCAAGATCTGCATCAGTGGTTCTGGCAGGTCACCTCCTGATGCTGAGAAATGGGAGGAAGACATCCATGACAGCACTGAGTAGAGGATACACAGGGTAAAACCTAGCCACAATAAAACAATGGGTCTATTCGGGAGGAATGCAGTTAAGGGGTAGTGACAAAAAGCTAGCTGATGTTTCACATAGTCCCCCTACTAAGTGTCCCCACATCTGACAGTTCCACCTCCAGGCTATATCATGAATTTGGGTACCTGCCCTGTTTAGATAAAACATGGATCTATATAAGTTTCAAAACACACGCAGGTCCCAGTGTTCTGTCTACCTGAGTAAGAACAGCTGAGACTGAACAGGGGCAAGACAGGTTGAACATTACCAGAGAAAATGGGAAAGAAAGAAAAAAGAAACAAACTCCAAATTGTTTGTTATTGTAGCATGTCCTCTGGTGATTTTTATAGATGTTATTAGTCAGACTATGTCTGATTCTGGTAAAAAAATCAGCTGGCTTTGCTATTACGTATCGCTGCCACCACCTCACTGGTTAACAGCAATATCAACCTGCTAAGAATCTGTTAGCCTTTGGGCAGCACCAGTAACACAACATGTATTCAATGGTTTGGTCTGTTGTGGAAGTATCCAACTTGTCTTTCAACATTACGCTGGCCCTTGTAAAACCCCTTGTGAAATCCAATGTCTCAGATACTCCATGTTTTAATCCATGACACAAGAAAGGTCACAAAAAGCTCTAGGAAACTGATTTCAGCATTCTACAAACAGAAATGTGCATCCGAAAACCAGCACTAAACTCACAAATAAACTATGCTACACTTGCCTCAAGACAAGATCTGATAAGCACTACAAATCCCATCTTCTTTTGGTTCCACTGCTGAATGCAGGGGCTTTTGCCTTGCTAACATGAACACATAGAACATCTTACATGAAATATACTTAAAAGAATAAACAGAAATCCACACACAGTCACTACAGGACAAGATGAGACCAAGAAGCATGTGATACCGATACAGATACAGCGATGAGGGCTATACAACTGCCTAAATAAAACCAGAAATGTTTGAACTAAGTTTGAATCAGGTTCTCCCAGCTAATTTTAAAACTAAGTGTTTTGCACTTCATGTTAAAAAAAAACAAGTGTACTTACGCAGCAGTAATAGGGATCCTAAGATCATTGCAAGGATGGCCCATACACCAAGAGTAACATTTCCATTATCAAGGTCACGCTTACTGCCATTGCATTCGGTTGGAGTAACGCAATCACATAAGTTAACGTTTATGCGGTGCTCTCCTACCTTTCCTCCGCTATCAGTCACACTTACAGGAATAGTGTATATTCCTAATGGAGTATCACCCTTTGGTGAAAGATACACAGAATTATCTGTAAAAAAAGACAAAACCAGATCTAGTGTTAACAGTACCTGAAACTCTGTTGTCACGAATGCAAGCGTAATCACAATCTTCCCTTCCGTTAGCGCTGTACTGCTACCAGATCTGCATTAGCTAGTTTAAAGCTAGCTTAAATGTGTTGACACAAAACTACATCTTGGAAGGATTTATACTTTCAGCACCTTTTAAATGTTAGAATTGAAAAAACAAACCTTATACAGCGTTCTGACAGCATATGATTTGAAACTCTGAAGTTGATTCAGTTCATTATAGTAAATGACAGTATTTGGGCTTACTAGTAAAGACCATCAACTGAACTGACATTTATTAAAAGGACTTCTAGTAGTGTGATTGGAATAATTAACTGTAAACTTAATTTATACCTCTTCCACTCTTTAGCACTACTGCTATATTCAGTGGGAACGGCTATATCCAGTGAGAAGTAAAATCCATTTAGTCTGCTGCCCTGCTTAGTGGCAATGATTAGTGACCACATGTTTTAAAGGGCGAAAGCAATCATTTGTTAAAAATATGTACAAGATAGACACTGATGTACATAATGATTGCTTTATGATGAGGTATATGAAACTACATGCACCATCTAAAATGTTTTTTCAATTTGCCCAATATAAACCTTGAAACTCTGAGATGTCTTTGCTCTCACACTTTGCTCTTGTCCCTTTCATTAGTGAATGTTTGTCTGAACACTTCAGAATCAGACCCTTTTCAGGCTAATTCATGACAACATAGCAGCAAATATATGTGCTGCTCTTGTTGCCGTCATCTAGCACCCACCAGGAAACCACCATCAGCTATAACTTTTTAAATCAGCAAATTTTAGGAACCAGTGATTGCTTTGGTAATAAATTGTTTATCTACTTCTGCCAAAATTATAAAAATTAACATAATATATTAAAGGAGATAGTAATGTTTTCTTTCACCCAGCTCAGCTTTACCAAATATGTGCTGGCTGACAGCAGTACTAAGAAAAAATCTGCCAGGGTTTTTTTAGTCAGCCTCTAATCAATTTTAGGTAAAGTTTCAGTTTTCCAGTTCTCCACCATAATGGCAGCCTAAGAAAAGTCGTGTTTTTCTTCGGAGGATTAGCCACTTCATTCTTAAATTCCTTATGAATTATGAATGTATACCTCCTTTTCCTGAGGTTCTGATGCAATGCATTACATGGGTTTTTGTTCTCCCACCTAATCTTCTTACATCATAATTTCAGACAGCAGCTGATGACCCAAGGATGCTGGGGACAGATTCTTGTTTATGCTTTAAAGAGGCAGAATATAGTATCCTTATCCTTGCCTTTGTGATGCCAACAGCTCCACCTTCTTAACTTTTGCAAACTGTTTCAAACCCAGGACAGTTAAGGTAAAGAGGAACAGCTAAAGTATTCTTTATTTCTGGCACACTCCTGATCTCCTGTACAGCAAATGAAACTACGGAACCGCTAGAGATCATCAGGGCTACCTAGTTAGCCCCACCGACTACATTCCAAACATATATTCATCCAATCTATTCTTACAGTCCACTCAAGGGGAGAGGTCACAAAGTCTCCTCTGGCAACCTACAGCTAAGTAAGGAGGAGGAAGTCTTAACATACCATTGTGTCGACTTATCTTCCACATGGAAGCCATGTCACGGTCAGTTATGCGGAACACGAAGGGTGCGCTGTAAGGAGACTCATCACCATCCTGTGCAGTAAGGCAGATCGGTTTTCTGTCTCTGCACATTATATAGTCAGTTTTAATGATTCGTGGGTAATTCTTGTTCCCAGGCCGGATGACAACCTGAATTGTTCCAGTGCCTGTTTTGCCATCTATAAGATAAAAATAACTACTTTTAGCACTTACTTCTAACATTCACATACTTATTTCTAGTCCAAACTTTCACAGTGAAATATCAACTGTAATATCCAGGTTTAGAAGTACAGTGGAAAACAGCTGCTGATTTAGCCAAAAAGAGAGAGGGACGCCTCACAGCTCTCCCTTGGCTACTTCTCTTTGCTTGGCTGGTTGTAGAACAGATCAACAGCTCCCAACCCTCCACATTCTGAATGTGCAATGTATTTTGTTGAGTGTGTGTATCTGCGTGGAGACAAATACTGTTCTAACAGGAGGATGAGAGGAGAAAGAGCCCATAAATCAGGGGTAAAGGATGCTAAGCCAAACTGAGAGTCAAAAGGAGAAAGTGAAGTTCTCCAGGCTTTTTACTTCTGGAAGGATAAAATAACTTCCACTGTCCCTACCCGCACTTCCCCTGGGAACACAAGCACCTTCAGAAACAGCAGGCTTCTTTCTGTCCTCTTCCCTCTGAGTCACCGGTAGCAGGATTCAGCAGTGACACACACTATGTCTACATGCGAGAAGTGAATGAGGTCTCCCTCCTAATTTTATTTTTTCCAATACGGGAATGGTCAATGCTTGTATATGCATTCCAGTGAAATTACATCAAGTCTATTTTTTAAAACTTTCTCTAGAGATATCTGATTGCCGATGTATATGTCATGTTTACTTTATATGCAACAGAAGTTCTAAACAATTTAAATTCATATTATTTGCACTTAATTTTAATATGCAAGCTTTGGACAGTTAGAATTTTTAGCTGTAAAGCAACTTCCAAAGCTCTGCTCTTTATTCCCACTGACGTTTAAGCACATAAGGGCTCAAACTAAATCCTGACATTTGGATTTAGAAAGGCAGTCCATTTTTCCTTTTTAATATAAGATACATATTTTAGAATTAAAAGTGTGACCTATAAGCCTAACATTTCTCTTTGATAATCCATTTGCTACATTTAGCATTTGGAAAGTGAAAGGTGTATTTAATCTTCTTGGCTAAATGACGTTGAGGCAAAACTATGTCTTTTCCTACAATAAATGCATATACCTACATTAATCAGAAAGAACAGATGATCACTCACATTAAATCAGAAGCAAAACATGGTTTAGAATGAGAATCTGAGTGTACAACCCTTCCTTTACAATCAGAGTAATTTGTAAGAGCTCATCACCTGAGCAACACATAGTGTGAACACTGTTACAGAACCTAGATGACTGAGAATAAGAGTGGAATCACATACAAAAATGAATACAGCTATTCCTAGAGGTCCTTTTAAATTAAGCATTTCCAAAAGCAAGACAACCAAGAAATCAAACAGAGGAGGAAACAGTAAGAGTTGCAAGGTCAACAACTTTTTTCCAAAAAGTTCTCTCTACTTTCTCTGTTGCCAACTTCACGGCTGCCAGGTGCTATCACTTAAAAAAATAGTCAGGAAATAAAAGGAATACAATCCACAGGTAGATCTCTCAATTTAAACTCAACAACGGATTTTAAATGGGAGCAGATAACTTTTGAAAACATTGAGAATTTGCCCCTATTTCTTAAATGCTTTCCCTGCTCTATAATATTCCCTAAGCATTTGATAGACCTGTCCCAAAAACAAGACAATGGACTAGGTGGGCCTCTGGTCTGAACCAGTATAGCTGTCCCCACACTAAATTTGCACAAAGACCACAAAGAATACTGACAACATTTAGTACTCACTTCTGTCTATTGCGAGGACTGTGATATTGCATTGACCTCGTTTCATTTCTGCTACATCTCGGTCCAAGACTTTAGTGGTTCTGACTTCACCCGATTTTTCATCTATGCTGATCCAATTACACTGGCCAGGTGCTATCCGGTAGCTGTCAAGAATAACTTATTTGTTTAGTTCAAGACCTCAAATATACATACACATGCATATGTACATGCATACACATACATACATAGATGCATGTATTCATATACAGTCATGTGCGTGCGTGCACACACACACGTACATATATACAGCATCAACTATTTCCCCCTTCCCAAGTCCCGCCCATGCTGTACTCCAAAGAAACTAGCAGATAACATTGCTTCATACCATATGCCTTCACTATTTCCAGTTTCTGGATCTTCTGCTAGGTATCTCCCAATATTCGTCCCAATCTCCTCGCATTCTTTAACGTCTAGGCGTAAGTGACAGGGTTTAAACACTGGCCCCTCATCCACATCCAGGACATGCACTGTAACAGAGCTGGTGCTCTGGGAAAGTTGTTGCGAATGTGGTGCCAGCATGTAGGGTGCCTCGTTCCTGGCTGTAATCACAATTATCCTTTGCTTGGCGCTTTCATAGTCCAGTCCCTGTAACAAAGGTGGGGTGTTGGTTTTTTCCTTCAAACCAATACAAAACTTGGCATTGTTTTCACTGCCCAATTATTAAATAGATAAAACTGTACCACATTTATTTACAAAAGAAGCCAGATATCCTTCTGGAACATCCAGTTTAACACACAATAAAGGGACGTGTTTTTTTAAAAAAAGTGTTAAGCTCTAAGTTAGTCAAAGAAAAGAACCTGAGGAACTACCCCTAATAAGGTAAGCAGCACCACTGCAAAATTTTAGATGAATGCTCTGATAATCCATTACTAATAGAACTGAGATAAGAATTAAATGCGGTGAGGGATTTTCTCCTCCCATATCTAGTTGGCCATTATTTTAGGTTACGTATATTTCCTTTCCAGCACAAGTCAATCACACTTCTTGCTAGCACCTATGTTTACTTCTTTGTAAGACTTCACCCATTGCAAAAATGTCTGAACTTGTGGGATCGATCAGTATCTACCATTTATTCTTCAGACACCTTCTCCAAGGTCATTGTATGCCTTTAATACAGCTATTTATATCCTAAAGTCATAATACTCTCTAGTCTACCACAGCATTACACTAAATATAAGAAATTTCAACTGGGTTAATATATCAGTTATTGCAGTTTTAACAGGTAATGAAAAAGAGGCATGAAGAGGCAAAGGCACATGCTGGTGTACACGTACAGTGATCCTTCTACCTCACATCTGTAAAGTACTGGGTATAACATGTAACTAAACTAACACATAGTCTTATCTGTAGGCAGAATCCCTCACACCCCAGAAAAGCAAACCTGAAGTCACTACCCTGCAAAATAAAACCTGGAGAGTTCTATGCTGAGTTAATAAGTTTAATCAACTCCCAGAGAGAACAAGACTGGAGGAGGTGCTCATTCCTCCACTTCTTTGCCACCCTCCTATTTCTGTTAAAAACCCAGCCATGAAGCATTCCTCAGTTACATCCCTAAGTCTAAACAGCTCCAACTGTGGAACCAGGCAAAAACACCAAGCTCTCTGGAATGACAAACCAAAGGGAATTCTTTGAATTCTGCACACAAAACTGAGGAGTAGTCTGGAAGATGAGTTTTGCAGGTTAGGTACCACGCACAAGCCTCTTTTGCAATGCATTATGCAATCTGCTCTAGAAGAGAGCTGAGATCAGGAAGAAAGCATGATTTGCCTGATAGTTACAGATATTATTAGAATAAAAATGAGTTCTAGATTATTGGTTTTAAAAGCAACACCTGAAGACACACAAATTTCCCTCTAGCAGTTCCATTTTCACTTACCTTAACAACACACAGTATTCCTTCATTTGTATTTTTGTCTGTTGTAATTTCAAAGGACCGATCATCATTTCCTCTTATAATTTCATACACTGCTCTTGAGCCAGGCAAACCAGGTTCATCAAGATCAACAACAGAGACTCTCAGTATTTCTACATTCACTCTGTTTTCCTCCACTCGCGCTTCATACTTGAGAGTATCAAAAAAAAAAAAAAAAGCAACTCAACTTAAATCAGAGAATACTGTTCCATGATGCAAGACTGAAGAACGCTCTATTTAAATAAGACTACTTAAACCCAAGGGGTCAATTTACCAAGCTGCTGTAATGATTTGTTTTGTTTTCATCCATTAGTATATTTCCCCCACTCCTCCCTTACACCCTAAGTGAAACAGTAAACCTTTCCTGCCAGCATTGCTGAAATCTCAGCTCCTTCATACACTCAAACTATGACTGACATAGTTAAGCCTGGAATTTTCCTTCCAGGAAAGGTAAATTAGCACAGTTCCCCTCAGTTACATCAGCCATAGATGCTAATTTGCATGCAACATGATCAAGCTGAGCATTAGAAGAGGCACTGGGGTAAATTAAAAAAAAAAAATACAAACAAACCACAAGAACTTGAAGAAAAGCCAAGAAAGGTGAAATACGTCTCTACTTGGATGGCGAAGGATGAAAGGATTTTTCTTATTTTTAAAGACCTATGTTATTCTGTACAAGCTCAAGAAGCACAGATAGGAGTGATTCTGAATTAGTATTACTGATGGTATTCTACAGTAGTGAGTGGAAAGGATAAGTTACATGTATTCCTCATGGATAATGAATTATTTTTCATAAATTTCATATTACAAAATCTCCTCTGGTATTTGAGCTGTATACATGGTTATTGAGACATACTCTCTGTCCTGAATAATTCAAATGGCTGCAGTAAGCAAAGACTTAAGGTTGAGTGGTTTAAATAATACCTCTGTAGAAGAAAAAAAAAAAGTTGGAAAAGTATAGAAAATCTCAGTGAAAATCCTTGCACCTACTTCACTGACACTAACATTTTTATTTGCAACGCAGAAGTAGCCAAAAGCTGGTCTAATGGTAACGAGGTCATGAGTGAATCTGTCCCCTCCCTGAAAATGGTTAAATTAGGGGATTTCTAACACTATGCATTGCAGCAGAAGTAAATGAATGAGTCATGTCAGCTTTCTCCCAATGGACATAAGGCAAATGACTCAAAACAACTACTATACCAATAGGTCTAATTACCAAAGAGCACAACAACCAACAGGGCATTCTCAAATGTCTATATTGGCATTAACTGTCTCAGGGCATTAGATTTTATATTTGAGGGACTGCCCATCAGGAAATTAGAAAGGGGATAAAAATAGGGTTTTTTTTTTTACCTTTTTATAGACATTTCATTTATGAAGACTTACTTGCATCTGTTTAAAGGATGGTGCATTGTCATTTGTGTCTTCGATTTTAATGATAGCTGTTCCTGTAGTGCACAAACCAAAAGGCTGACCCGCCATATCTCTCACTTCAACTAACAAAGTGTAACTGGGTACCAGCTGAAAAGATGAATAAAAGCATACAGAAGTTTGACATACTCATTTTTTAATCACATAGTTACACACAAGAGTAGAACTAAATAAACTAAGTATTTTACTCCCATTCCCCAACTCTGCTCTAAATTCAGTGCTCCCCTACAAAATGAGGCAATTAGCTTTGGGGCTTCTTCCCTATAGTTCCAAAAGGAAAACAAGGGAAATACTTTTCAGTGGCTAAGCAGCACCAAGTTCAGCATCTGTTAGTAATGTGTAACTATATCTCATATCAAATAAAGCTTCTCACAACGTCAGCTTTATTTTCCAATACCTGAAGTTTTGGAAGATGCAAATTACGCACTTTCAACTGCTATATGTCTCCCCTTTGGAGTGGCAGAGTATTCCCTTAGGTTTCCAGCTGGTAAAGTGTTTCAGTGCATGTCTCTTATTTCAGTGAAGATGACCACAAATGGTGCTGCAATCAGCCTTTGTTTGGGCTGTACATGACGGAATGAGTAAGTGCCCTCATCAGTTCCAAGGGGATCACTGATAAGCAGTCCACTTAAATCCCTGACTTGAGTTACAATAGCAGGCGGCTTTTTTTAGCCTTATTAATACCTGAACAACACAGGGAAGGGGGACGGGGCAGGGGGGACTGGGCACAAAACGAGGGAGTTTGTACATCAAGACAGTAACTCCAGTTCTGAATGCCGGGAAGTAGCATTAGGTTTCTCAGGTGGAGGAAAGAAATCTCCTATTCAACTTTGTAAGTTTATTTTTAAAAGATAGGTAGTGGACTTATTTTTCAAGCTTTCCTTCCCTCAGCAGTCACTGTGATTGTTTCCTTAGTAGACATGGTGATGCTCACAATCACTGTATTTTTCTCTTGCTAAAGAAGTTGAGCAGTGTACTTGCAAGTGCACAATTTTGCAACATGCTGCTAAGGCAGATTTTCAGCCGTGAAGCGACGGAAGTATGCCAGAGTAAGATTCTTTTTATCCTCAAAAAAGATATGCCCGTAGCAGTGTTTTTTTCTAGAATGACTGTCTTATACTAGAAATATTATTCTGAAATACGCATGCCTCAGTTTTTCTAGCGTAAACAATCTCTCGCATGACATTTTATCAAAAAAAAACCCAAATAAACGAAAACTAAAACCTCGTGTACCTTATTTACTTGAAAGCTAGCTGACAAGAATAAAAGGTTTGCACTTTAAATTTAGGAAATGTTATATTACTGTTTAGGTATCAGGTATTGGAGATATTTCTGTTGAGTAGAGGATGACTGACTACTTCCAGAAAAGTTGGTCCATCTTCCCTGTAAAGAAGCAAGAAGCACCTCAATTGGAGCTTGATTAGGGGAAAACAGTGGCTCACGGGATACATGAACACAGAAAGAATAAAAATCCATAGGATTTTCAATCCATAGGTCCAATAAGAGAGTAGCAGGAGGACCCCTGCCAAGATTAGCTAGAATATGGTAGATCTATGCAGAAACTCTTCGGACCAATTACAGGTCTCTGGAAAGCTTTGGAAACTCCTTAGACAGGGAAACCCAAAAAGGGTAACAGAAATTATTTATCTGGTGATTCCCATGCCAGCAACTCAGAGGTAGGAAGCTATCTGTGTGCCCTAGATGATAGCTAAAGATGCTTCAGGAAAGATCACCTCTCTATCCAGTTGCGGTGATGATACAGAAATGACACCTGTGTCACCATGTAAAGAAAATGCTGGGGGTACTGGTGGATTTTGTGACACAATGCGGTATTTCAAGGTAGTATGCAGAGTAAAAGGCTCATCTCTGTCCTCTGCAGTCATTTTTCCAATACCTATACCTGTGAACACAATACAGCAATTTTTAGTTTCAGAAAAATCTGTAAATAATAAAAAATTATTTCAACAGGTATTTCTATTTTAGATACATGAAAAAAGCTATTTGGTCATTTAGCTCTAAATGAAAATAATACTGAAAACACAGTAAACAGTAATGAAAATACAGTCACAGTGTAAAATTGTCTATTTTAATCCTCTAGTTATTTTTTCTCCTTCTTAGATGAAGTTGTAATTATTGCAGGTGTCACAAAGTATAATCAAAAGAAATACGAAAAGTTTACATTTCAGTTAGTGGTTTTGACAGTGACTTCTAACTGAGCATCCCAAACACAACTGAAGAGGAGTTGACAGGGCGGATGAGGGGGAGGTTCAGTGCTTTCTGACATGTTTCAGACTTCAGTACTGCCTCTCAGGGAGTGCTGCTGTACTTCATCTCTAGTGACCGAGTGGGTTTGGAACTTCACTAAATCAGTAACTCACCCAGTAAGAACAGCTCAGAGAATGAAACGCAACTAGTGTTTTGGAGTGAAGACACTTTGCTTCCCTTTTTGTGAAGCAAGTTAGACTTTCCCCACTCTACACCCCTAGCCTAGGAAATGAGTGAGGAATGGCAAACCATGGCTTTTGCATTCCTTATTCTCTGGGGTCCACCTTTCTCCCTGCTTTTGTCCTCTATTACATAGACAAGTGAAGTCAGTAATGGACAAATCCCTGCCTTCTTACAGGTATGGGCAGAAGCAAGACTTTCTCTGCCTCTCCCTACACCACCCCGCCCCCAAAAGAGTCCTGCCTTGGGTTATCAGCTCGGACAAACACTGTAAGCTTAATCAAAGGCATTTTACACCTTAGAACACCACTGATATAGATGCTTAGGAAGCTAATCTGTTAAAAACTGCTGTTCTAGCAATCAAAACATTTTATGGGAACAGGTGATTTTGGATAAAATGAAAAGAATAATGTTCTGAAGTTCTTACACCATTTTAAGAACACTGAATCGTCTCAGTTTTAAAAAACTTCTTTTTTACACAGCATTTTTCACTATGATTGAGATGGCATTTTGGAATTTCTAATCATTAAGAAATCTTGAGCTGGTCTTTGCAAATTCAGCCTTTGTTGTAAAGAAATACTCCTTAGGAAATCCCACTGAAATTGATTAAAAGGCAGGATTGCATCTAGTCAGACTGGTATGTAACTGAGCTGACTAGCGGTAACTGTGTTCACTGATTTAAAACAGTTCTTACCAGGTTTGGAATTTTCAGGAACAGAAAAATGAAAAACTTCCTGTGTAAAATATGGAGCATTATCATTATCATCCTCTATCTTGATTGTATGCACAAGTGGTACCTCTGGTGAATAACCATCTGGAGTGGTTGCAAAGCAAATGATCTGTAAGACATAAATTCAGTAGTTCGCTTCATGCTTAAGCAACGTGAAGTATTATTACACTTTTAGTTCAGTGGAGGAGTCAATAAAATGAAATACAGCATGCCAAGCATACCAGGCTCTTCAGCCACATGGAAGGGGAAGTGACTGGTACCTTATGATGACAGCAACACAAAACCTTTAACTGCTTTCCAGTATTTCCTCTTTCTATTCCTTGCGCTACAAGTATTTGCATCACTTACTTTGCGCCCACCCCCCCCAACTCTGGCAAACACTTTTTCCAAGTCTCTTGAACACATTTTTTCCAGGTGTCCATGAGGCTATCTCAGCCTTACCAAAAATTTAGACGTAAATATTGCTATTTAGAACAAAATCAAGAACAACTATTTGCCCATTACAACATAATCTAATAAAATGCAATAACAGGTACTGAAAATTACCTATTTAGAAGCTGTTTGTTTCTACTAACTGCCTTCTTACACTTCTTAGCCAGTAGAGAGAGCAGTGTACCTTCTTAACAAAATACCAAAACTGAACAGCTTGAGAAAGAGAGGCTCAAGAAAACACAGTCATCTAGAGCTTCTCATGATTTTTGTTTTTATGCAGATCTTTTCAACCTTCCCTGAAAAACTCTGGATAACTTCAAACTCTTCCTGAAAGTGATGCAAATCCAATAGCTCGCTACATTTATGCTGCTTAGAGTCTAAGCAGTGAAAAGCAAAACTACTCTCAAGATCTAGATGACCAGCTATTTCTTTATTTGTCTACAGCACCTCTACAACACCAAAGGTATTACTCAGAACAGATAGCTGATTCCAGATCTTGTCCACTTCCAGTTTCCCCTGTAACCTAGCTTTCAAAGTATGCATGACAGTAAAAGAAGATTTAGTTATATTTACACAATTTAGAACTATACCTGAAAGCTTGGATATTGTTCACGGTCTACTGCACGAGTAGCAAAGATATTTCCAGTTTCTCTTTCCATGTAAAACAAACCCTTTGGATCTTGATCAATTCCCGGTCCACTTGCAGAATAATAAATGGTGTAGTTCTGAGCTGTGTCTGACTGGACCTATAAAGAACATGTTTTTAAGCCCAAGGAAAAACAGCAGCATAATTCTAGTATATTTTCCCCCTCTTCATCATCATATTTAGCACAAGCAGGAATTCTTCAAAAAAAACCAAAAACAAAACTTCATTTACTTCTACTTCTTTAGCAGCTTAAACTTCACAGAATAGGAGAACAGCTTGCTATGTAACTGCCTTCCTTTATAATGTGTGTACATGAGAAGGGGGAGTTAATTCAAATTCAGAAATGTTTAGGACTATTGAACAATTAAAGAAATGACAGTGTGCCTAAAAAAAATTATTTTGAAATCTAATCTCTCTGGAATACTGAACATACGAGGCACATTCAGATACAGATGGCTTATTTCTGTCCCTGTTCAAGAGATTTTGGGTTTAGTGCACTCATTGAGAATGCGGTTTGCAACTAGAGAAGGAAAAAAAAAAAAGGAAGGAAAGAGAGAAGACCACACAGAGTATAGTCCAGAGATATGCCAATTCAGATAGCCTCTCTGCATCTCTTTACAAGCACTAAGGAGGTAACATTAGCAGTTATCTATTTATAAGCACTCTCCTCCCCAAATACCTTCCTTACCTACTGAACACCAGAAGTTAGGAAAGTAAGATTAGTAGAAGAATGATTGCTCTGCACAGACTCTGTTATTACACTTGTCACTACACATCTGCTACCAGCTACTCTGTAATCTAGTGAAGGCTAGATGGATCTATGATAACTTTAGTTCTTGCATTTCTCTTTCACGCCTACGTGCTTTCTTACAGTAAGTACTTTTCCTAATAATGTAGGCCATACTTAAGTCTTCAATGCTACAGGTATACACCTCGAGCTCCAGAAAGGATGAAGACATGGAGGTAAGATTGCCCTCACTCTGTGTCTACAAAATCTTTTTCTAGGCAATGTTTTGTGGGGGTTGGTTTGTTGGGTTTTTTTTTAATTACACGTCACTGATTTCCAGGCCAAAAAGCTCTCTTCTGATAGTACGCCTCTCTCCTTTTTACAACTTTTGCACATTTTCAGTTCATCCCAACAACTACAATCACAAGTTATTTCAGCTACAAGATCGTAAGATACACAATGAACAGGACAGAACAATTTTTAGGAATGGCATCAGTAGGGAATACAAGAGAGCTCAGCTTTGTTCTTCTTTTATCATAAAAGTCACATACAAAACCAGCTTGTGTCATAAAATTAGGATCCGTCTAAAATATACCTGCTGAATTTGTAGTGGAAAAGGTCCCAGCGAGTTCTCTAACATAACGGATGGAATTGGGCCCCACCTTCTTTTGGTTCGCTTGAGAACTGTATCTCTTGCATGTCTGGTCTTCTGTGTCTGGGTCTAGAAGACAAAAAGACAGGTAAGAAGATATCCATATATTCTTAACTGTGTATATTTTTGCTTAACTACTGTCCTGGTTTTCAATTTCTTTTTCCCGCTGCTCCAGTTTTCCCACTGACCATTTGTTTTTCGAAGGTCTTCATTTCTGGTTTTACCTGTGACAGTATTCCATGAGTTTTTTCATTTGCTGTAATACTTTCCACAAATAAAATCTGCTTTGATTCCTTAAACATGGCTTTTAAGATTCTTGACACTCCTCATTAAGCACCTTGCTAGCATCTCCCATTTCATGAAGGAAGTCTGCTGACTTGAGCGACATAGTAGTCAACAACTGCTAAATAAAAATGCACTCTACACCAGAGTGCTTTACCTGATTATTTGAATTCCAAAATTCAACTACAGTTACCCAGCAAGAAGCTGTACTCTGCAAAACAGTATTTCAGATAAGTACAGTATCTTGAAATGAGAAGCTCACCCTTTTTTCTTCTTCCACCAAGCTAACATGTATTTTCTTTTGCACATGTTCTTGAATGTCTTTAAGTAATATGGTAAAAGTCTTTTTCTCAGCAGACAAAGAAACAGCAGATGTTGTGTACACAGAACCATCCTCCAGAATTTTGAAGTTCCCATCACTGGAACTGATAAAGTCTGCAGACTGCAGGCATTCTTTCAAATCAACTGTTAAGAAAAAATATTCAGACAATAACTCAAACAGTGAAACAATAACATCCCTCACAAAACAAAAAAATGTTCCCTAAGTAAAAATTATATTTACTGACAGATGGAGTCTTCAAAAATTTGGTCATTTGGTATTTAAGCATCACAAATATAGATTCTAGAACCCATCTATGCACTCAGATTTGACCAACTTTACATGAACTTGCACTCTTGTGTTCATAAGTGTTTCCTAAAGGACATGGGTGCTTCACAGATATCTTTCAACAAGACGCTATTACACTGGCAAAATTATTGAAGCATCAGAGACTAACTAATACATTTAAATGCAAAAAACATTGTAGACACACTCAGTATTGGACCAGTAGCTATTACATTTGCCTTGTGCTCCATGCCCCACAAAATCGGTGAAGACGATTAATTAATGCAAATGCCCAATGGAGATACTACATCTTGGAAGTTTTGCCCTCAGGAGGAAAGCACTGACTTGTACTATGTGATTTAATAGTCCTGGGAGGACAAAGGTCTTTAAATTATGAGGCAGACAGATGGGAGAGATAAAGACTAACTCTAGAACAAATGATTGGCAATTTTTTAACATATACATGATAGAATCCCATGCAGTTTATAGGAAGTAACAGGTAAGTTCAGCACACTTCTCAGGTATTTTTTACTGCATTTGCTATCACTTGTGGCTAAAATAAACTTTAATGCACTTCAATAAACTTGGTTCATCAGCGAGTAATTCACCACTACAGCTGGAGAAAAAGCAAAATCAGGATAATCGTAATGAACTGCAAGGGTAGGACCACAGGACTAGGCAAGAACGATTGGGCATCCTGAAAAAGATGAAGGCCAGAGACCTAAACTCTACACAAATGACCGTTGCAGAGTACAAGAGGTGTCAGTGTCATATTCTCAAAATCAAAATTTTTCAGTACTCCTTCAATGATATCATAGTGGATAGAACCTTGCTCTATCAAAGCTGGCTGCAGAATTCCCAGAGCAGTGTAGATTCAAAATTTCATCCCGTATATGTAAATGATATTTTCAATAAACTAAATTCCATTTCTCTTTCAAGAATGCAAGAACAGATGGGAAGCATAATTTTAAATATGACATGATTTCTTCCTTCCTCTTCTTAAGACTTTCTTTTAACTGCTCAATTAAACACTTCCTAGACTTTCTACAGCACTGCAGCAGTGACTCCTCTCCTTTGTCAATCTGTACAATGAAATTTTAGTATTGAAGAAAATATCATTGCCTCACTCATACTGCTGTATATTACAGCACTGCATTTCCAAAAATACCAGACTGGAAATTTTGTTTCTGATGGTTATGTGAGTCAACATTATGCTCAGTTAGCCATAGCTTTGTGGGAACTTTTTTCTTTACAGCCTCTCATATATGTTGCATAAGTCAGAAATATAAGAAACCTTAAAAGAATCAGGAAAATCCTGACTCATGTTATTCTCATGGTATCGTCCTTGTATCAATGCAAAATATATTATGCTTTCTCAATAAATGTTTCAGTAATGTCATTCAAGCTATAAAGGTTTTGTTAACTGTTTCGAAAAAAAAGGTTTAAGTTCAATGTTACACAATGTCTTTCATAGCACTGTAATAACATGAAGTTTTGTTTTTATATAAATCAAGTTTATTTACATAGAGAAATGCTAAAGTCTCTTGAGAACATGCTAAAAACTTAAACAGCTGTAGCAACTTTACATTTTAAAATTTAAGAGTAAGGTCAACGAACTTTCATTTTTAAAGTTAGATTTTCTGAGCACTTGTATTGTGATGAATTACCAATCCACTTTGCTTGTTCCTTCTGTAGGAATGTGGATTAGGATTGCAGATTTGGAGCATACTCCTCTGCTGTCTTGGGACTCACACAGGGCACCTCTGAAACCTCAAAATCAGTCTCAGACAGCACAGAACTCTGTGGCAGCTCCTATGCCACACCTTTAAAAGCTGCCTTTCAAAGACTGGTCTGAAAAACAGGAGTGAGGTGTTTTCTGCCCTCCCCTATTCCTCTCAGTCACCTGCACACTGCCCTAAACCAAGACAGACCATCCAGTCAGACAGGAGCACTCTCCCAACTGAATGTGCATGCTGGACACCTTTGCAACTCCTCTTCTTGCGTGCCCTGAATGTCCCAGCACTGCTGAGAAGTCGCATCCAGGTTACGCAGAGCAGCCGCTTCTGGGTGCTTCTCTTGCGTGGGTTTTCTCTTTTTTTTTTTTCTTTTCCATTATCCAAACGACTTACTGACTTCCTCATATGACTCTGTGGGTTACGGGTGCACTTTGGAATATTAAGCCACTTATTTAAATACTAAGCCCTAGACTCCAAATTTTGAAACCATTAAACTCTGCCATTCTCGTTTTAAAATAAATATTGAAAGCTGACAATAGCTGTTTACGCAAAAGTCAAATGGATGCACGGAGCCAGTGTTCAAATCCATAACAAACACAGGGCGTATCCTTCATAAAAAGGCTGATCCAGCTGTTTAACTGGCTGTCCAGTCATCCATTCATTCCATTAAAGAAAAAAAAAAAAAAGTCTCCTTCACTGTTAACAGCATCTGCAGCAAAGGTGCAATGTTGTATTGTTAAGATTGGCGTCTTGCAGTTTCTCACCTCTGCCAACTAACGTGTCAGCCTCTAGCTCAGAAGGAACGTGAAAAATTATTTTCTTGCAAGCTTCACAGCACAAACTCAGTACCTAGAAAACAAATTAAGAAATCAGGAAAAAAAAAATAATTACATGCCATTTTGAATAATACCTACGGTTACTGAAGCTGCCTTTGGTTGGTTTGTTTTTTAAGACAAACCAGTGAAAAGGCACAGACAGCACTCTTCAGCTAAAAAGACAAGCACTATGCAGCACAGCACGTAAAGTTTCAAGCTGGAAACCAGATCTGACTGCTGCTCCCTGATCTGTCCATGGCTTGTGTTTTTCTTCTAAAATCACGGCAGCACTGACATCAACAGCAAGAGTTCGCTTTGACTAGAAGATCTCACCTACACTACTACTTTAGCAGCAGAAAGGCAAAATGCAGCTTCACAGTGCACTCCTTCCAACAGCATTCTCGGCCAATTTAGATCCAAGGTCTCTAAGTATTAAAGTTCAACCCGTCAAAACTCAGCTCAGCAGAACTGTGGTGATGCTTAACATTAAAGGGACAAGTGTCTTATTAAAACCACATGACGACACTTGCACTTACATATCACTTTGCATCTTCAAAGCACATTCTCAACAAACTAATTAAATCTAGCTTCAGTAATTAGATATGACATAAATAAACGTTGTGTATCACAGCAGTCCACTCCCATATAACCAGTTACAAAATGGGGTCCTCCTCAAAATTCAAATGAGTGGTAGATAACCAGGCCTTTTTAGAAAAAGAATCATATGGAGGTACAAAGATTTTCCTCAGCACAGAGCAATTTAGTCCTGACCTCAGATTATATATGTGTTTGTGTGTGTGTGTATATCTCTTGCCTAGTTTCTATCCAGATGTTTAAAATTGTAATCCAAAAATCACAGAGACAGGTAAACAAAGAAATAGAGAAATGTAAATAAATGTATTCACCCTTTTAAGTACATTTATTCTTTCAGGATGAAAGTCTAGTGAAAAGGAAAGTCATCTTTATTTTGCACATGCCTTTAGGATTAAAAGTATAAAGCAGTAAATAGCTAATGGAAATTCTGAAAATGATTTGTCATTCTTATTAAGAAAATTTTTAAATAAAAATACTTTAAAATCTTTAAGGCATGAGGAAATTTTAGAAAAATTATGATCAGCTAAACAAAGTAAAGTTGAAATGTGGAATTTAATCATTGCATTAAAACAATTTAACTGCTGTGTCTGCATTATAAAAGCTCTTCATAGTGTTCTTTGTATATAAACATACAGATATAAAAATATGTATATATAAAACAATTTAAACACCCCTGCTTATATATTAGCAGGCACTTTCCTTATTAACAGATACTTAATAATATTAACACTCTCTCCTGACAGACGTTGTATTACTTTTTAAGTTATTAAAATCACACCATCTTACTACATTGTTTGAAGATATTTTAAGAATCAGTGACATCTAATTTTGAAATAGTAATGCCAAGCTAGTCTGATGTCACCACGAAGAACCATTGAAGAATTAAAAAATATAAATATGGTAGTTATTCGTGGATATCAAGAGATAGGGAAACACTAGGTAAAAATAAGCTGTGATGTTCTTCCACTTCATACAAGGAAGACACTTCAGCAGTTTCTTGAGTTTAGGTGTTGGGTTTTTTCTACTTGATGGGGGAAGTTCTTTTACTTTTTTTAATTAGATGTATGAGTAAACTCGCTTGGGTTTCTTTGGGTTTTATTATGAACATCCTAGCAAAGGCAGACAAACAATGTCTGGAATAGTAACACTGCCATTAAAATGCACATACCTAATGAATATGAAAATAGTAAATTCAGTGCTTCAGCACTACCGAGTATTTTTCTTTCAAGCTCAAACGATCATCTGCCCTCTTTTTGTGAACGCAATGATAATAGGGAAGAAAGAGGGTAAGAAACAAAAGGCAAATCATTTTCACTCATCCACTAAAAAAAAAAAGAGATGACTCCCCTGCTCTCCCCGACAATGGCCTTTGTGTAGCTAATAATTATGCACAAATACAGTAAATTGAAGGTAAAGCTGCAACTGTTCAATGCACAGAAGAGCTTCTGGAGGAGCTTAACACGCTCCGCACCATTCGCACAAACCTTCCCACGGAAAAGG